ACACTACACTATACACTACACTATACACTACTATACACTACACTATACACTACTATACACTACACTATACACTACACTATACACTACACTACACTACTATTCACTACACTATACACTACACTATACACTACACTATACACTACTATACACTACACTATACACTACACTATACACTACACTATACACTACATTATACACTACACTATACACTACTATACACTATACTATGCGCTACACTTATATACTACACTATACACTACACTATACACTACATTATACACTACTATACACTACACTATACACTACACTATACACTACACTATACACTACTATACACTACACTATACACTACACTATACACTACTATACACTACACTATACACTACACTATACACTACTCTGATTAGGATTGGCTGCGAATGGTGCAAAAGTAGTTCACCACCCACATGTAGAGGATGCCCCACCCATCCTCACACACTCGCACCGCACGTCGCAAACTCCTTCTGCACTCAAGTTGAATTTATTAGGTACCAGCGGGAGGTACCCGGCATTGCCCGGGCGAAAAAGACACACACAGACATGGACTTACACACACAGACATCGACCCACACACACAAACACATCGACTTACACACACACATATGTATGGACTCAAACACACACATTGACTCACACACATATCGACTTACACACACATCGACTTACACACACACGCATCGACTTACACACACACATGGACTTACACACACACATCGACTGACACATAGACACACACATCGACTGACACATAGACTCACACACACAGCGACGACTCACACACACAGCGACTCACACACACGCATGGACTTACACACATCAACGTACACATACACACATCGACTTACACACATAGCGACTCACACAGACACATCGACTCAAACACACATGGACTTACAGACACATCGACTCACACACATCGACTTATGCACACACTTGCACGTAGACACACAGACTTACACACACACATATGGACTCACACACACAGACATCAACTTGAGATACACACACATGGACTCACACACACACAAGTACACACACACAGACATCGGCTTTAGATACACACACATGGACTCACACACAAGTACACACAGACATCGACTTACACACACATACAAACTTACACACACAGACATCGACTTTAGATACACACACATGGACTTACACACACACACACACGTACACACAGACATCGACTTTAGATACACACACATGGACTCTCACACACACAAGTACACACAGACATCGACTTACACACACATACAAACTTACACACACAGACATCGACTTTAGATACACACACATGGACTCACACACACAAGTACACACAGACATCGACTTTTAGATACACACACATGAACACACACACACAAGTACACACAGACATCGACTTACACACAAGTACACACACGCAGACATCGACTTTAGACACACACATGCACCACACCCCACGATAGTCTATTCCCATGTTATCGCAACGGAAATCGACTCTATAAATTCACTACAAGAATCGATTCTAATGTTATCCCATTAAGAATCGACGCAAATGGAGATAATCGAACCGGGAATCGAATTTCTCTGCACCACGTGACTGAGAAACGGAAACACGTGGGTCCCAGGTGGGTGTCATGGCGGTGCGAGAACTCTTCTCGAGACTTGGCCTACTCTTCCTCTCCGTCCTCCCACTCGTCACGTGCACACACGGTGAGCCAGCAGAGGGGGTTGATACATCGGGTACCAGGGTGTGGTGGACGTGGGGAGCGGTGGTGAAGTGGTTAGCGCACTGTGTGTGTGTGGGAGCGGTGGCGTGGTGCAGTGGTAGCGCACTGTGTGTGGGTGTGTGGGGAGCGGTGGTGAAGTGGTTAGCGCATGTGTGTGTGTGGGGAGCGGTGGTGCAGTGGTTAGCGCACTGTGTTGTGTTGGGGAGCGGTGGTGCAGTGGTTAGCGCACTGTGTGTGTGTGTGGGGGGGGGGTGGGGCGGTGGTGCGTGGTTAGCGCACTGTGTGTGTGTTGGGAGCGGTGGTGCAGTGGTTAGCGCCACTGTGTGTGTAGTGTGTGGGGAGCGGTGGTGAAGTGGTTAGCGCACTGTGTGTGTGTGGGGAGCGGTGGTGCAGTGGTTTAGCGCACTGTGTGTGTGTGGGGAGTGGTGGTGCAGTGGTTAGACGCACTGTGTGTGTGTGGGGGGGGGGGGAGCGGTGGTGCAGTGTTAGCGCAACTGTGTGTGTGTGGGGAGCGGTGGGTGCAGTGGTTAGCGCACTGTGTGTGTGTGTGGGGGGGGGGGGAGGCGTGGTGCAGTGGTTAGCGCACTGTGTGTGTGTGGGGAGCGGTGGTGCAGTGGTTAGCGCACTGTGTGTGTGTGGGGGGGGGAGCGGTGGTGCAGTGGTTAGCGCACTGGTGTGTGTGTGGGGGGGGAGCGGTGGTGCAGTGGTTAGCACACTGTGTGTGTGTGTGGGGAGCGGTGGTGCAGTGGTTAGCGCACTGGTGTGGTGTGGGGAGTGGTGGTGCAGTGGTTAGCGCACTGTGTGTGTGTGGGGAGCGGTGGTTGTGCAGTGGTTAGCGCACTGTGGGGTGTGTGTGGGGAGCGGTGGTGCAGTGGTTAGCGCACTGTGTGTGTGTGTGGGGAGCGGTGGTGCAGTGGTTAGCGCACTGTGTCGTGTGTGGGAGCGGTGGTGCAGTGGGTTAGCGCACTGTGTGTGTGGGGAGCGGTGGTGCAGTGGTTAGCGCACTGGTGTGTGTGGGGAGCGGTGGTGCAGTGGTTAGCGCACACTGTGTGTGTGTGTGGGGAGCGGTGGTTGCAGTGGTTAGCGCACTGTGTGTGTGTGTGGGGAGCGGTGGTGCAGTGGTTAGCGCACTGTGTGTGTGTGGGGAGCGGTGGTGCAGTGGTTAGCGCACACTGCCCATCTCCGCAGCTGCGACTCCCCTCTGAATGTCCGCGTGGAGTCTCGCGACCTGCTGACGCAACTCCGCTGGGACCACGACGCTCAGGGACGTCGCCACCAGAGCAGCTCACAGCTCCTGGACGTTGCCTACAGGGTGGACAGCAAACTGTGAGATGCTTGCTCACTCGCTCACCCACTTACTCGCCCATCCACTCACTCACTCGCTCACTCACCCATCCACTTGCTCAAACCACTCTCTCACTCACCCACTCACCCACCCACTCACCACCCACTTACTCCCCACCCACTCTCGCACTCACCCACTCACTCACTCACCACCCACTCACCCACCCACTTACTCACCCACCCACTCTTCACTCAACCCACTCACTCACCCACCCACTCACCCACCCACTTACTCACCCACCCACTCTCTCACCCACCCACTCTCACCCACCCACTCTCTCACCACCACTCTCTCATCACCCACTCACCCACCCAACTCATCACCCACCCACTCTCTCACTCACCCACTCACTCACCCATCCACTCTCTCACTCACCCACTCACACCCATCCCACTCACTCACCCATCCACTCACCCACCACCCACTCACCCACTACTCTCTCACCCACCCACTCTCTCACTCACCACTCATAACCATCCACTCAACTCACCCATCCACTCACCACCAACATCCACTCACCCACCCACTCACCCACCCACTCACTCACCCCACTCACACACTCCCATCACACACTCAACCACTCACTCACCCACCCACTCACCCACCCACCCACCACTCACTCACCTGACTCACCCACCCACTTACTCACCCACTTCACTCACCCACTCTCTCACTTGCCACTCACTCACCACCCACCACTCACCCACTTACCCACCCACTCACTCACTCGCCCACTCACCTGCTTGCTCACTTACCCACTCACTCCACTCTCTCCACTCTCTCACTCACTCAATCTCACCCACTCACTCACCACTCTCTCATTCACCCACTCACCCACCCACTCACACACCCACTCACACACCACTCACACCCACTCACACACCCATCCTCACCATCCTCCCCGTGTCTCGTCTGTGCAGCTATGGACGAGCCCGCTGGCGGACCGTCTGCGCTGCCACCGCAGAGACACGGTGCGATGTCCATCAGCTCTGCGACATCCGGCGACCGCTATCAACTTCGCGTCAGATCCACCGTCTCATCACCACCACCAACCCACCATCACCACCATCACACATCATCACCAACCCCATCACCACCATCATCGTCACCCTGGGTCGGGGTTGATGTGTTACCTGAAGACAAGTGAGTGGCATTGTCTTGTCTCTGTCTGTGTCTCTGTGTCTGTGTGTGAGTGTCTCACTCTGTGTCTCTGTGTGAGTGTCTCTGTGTGTGAGGTCTCTGTGTGTGGTCTCTGTGTATGAGTGTGTGGTGTGTTGTGTGTGTCTCTGTGTGGTGTGTGTGTGTGTGTCTCTGTGGTGTGTGTCTGTGTGTGTGTCTGTGTGTGGAGTGTCTCTGTGTGTCTGTGTGTCTATGTGTGAGTGTCTCTGTGTGAGTGTCTGTCTGTGTGTGTGTCTGTGTGAGTGTGTGTGTCTCTGTGTGTGTCTGTGTGTGTGTCTCTGTGTGTGAGTGTCTCTGTGTGTGTCTGTGTGCTGTGTGTGAGTGTCTCTGTGTGAGTGTTTCTGTCTGTGTGTGTGTCTGTGTGTGCTCTGTGTGTGTCTCTGTGTGTGTGTCCGTGTGTGTGTCCGTGTGTGTGTCTCTGTGTGTGAGTGTCTCTTTGTGTGAGTGTCTCTGTGTGTGTCTGTGTGAGTGTGTCTCTGTGTGTGTGTCTCTGTGTGTGAGTGTCGTGTGTGTGTCTGTGTGTGTGTGTCTCTGTGTCTGTCTCTGTGTATGAGTGTCTCTGTGTGTGTGTGTCTCTGTGTGTCTGTGTGTGTGTGTCTGTGTGTGAGTGTCTCTGTGTGTGTGGTGTCTGTGTGTGTGTGTGTCTCTGTGTGTGTCTCTGTGTGTGTCTCTGTGTGTCTTGTGTGTGTCTGTGTGTCTCTGTGTGTGTCTCAGCCGTGCTGAGTGCTCCGACTGTCACCTTGATGCTCCACAAGGACGCGATGCTGGAGGAGGGTGGTGAGGAGGGTGGTGAGGAGGAGGAGTGTGGTAGTGAGCGTGAGGACTACGAACATGACGACAAAGATGGCTACGAGAATGACTACGACGACGATGATGACGACGATGAGGGTGATGGCGGCGATGGCGGTGGCGACGAGGGAGAGCGGTGGGAGCTGTCCGTGCGGGTCTCCATGAGGAGCGAGTGGAGGAGGAGGATGGCGCAGAGTGGCGTGCACTACCATCTACAAGCCGAGGTCTCCACAAGGAGGGGTGTGACTAGCACGGTGAGAGTGGGGGCGTGGGGTGGGTGAGTGGGTGAGTGGTGGGTGGGTGAGTGGGTGGGTGGTAGGGAGTGGGTGGGGTGAGTGGGTGGGTGAGTGGGTGGGTGAGTGGGTGGGTGGGTAGGTGAGTGGGTGGGTGAGTGGGTGGGTGAGTGGGTGGGTGAGTGGGTGGGTGGGTGGGTGAGTGGGTGAGTGGGTGTGTGGGGGGTGTGTGTGTGAGTGGGTGGTTGAGTTGGTGGGTGAGTGGGTGGGAGGGTGGGTGAGTGGGTGGGTGAGTGGGTGTGTGGGTGGGTGAGTGGGTGAGTGGGTGTGTGGGTGGGTGAGTGGGTGGGGTGGGTGGGTGTGTGTGGAGTGGGTGGGTGAGTGGGTGGGTGAGTGGGTGGGTGGGTGAGTGGGTGGGTGAGTGGGTGAGGGGGTGAGTGGGTGTGTGGGTGGGTGGATGAGTGGGTGGGTGAGTGGGTGGGTGGGTGTGTGGGTGGGTGGGTGGGTGAGTGGGTGGGGATGAGTGGGTGGGTGGTGGTGAGTGGGTGGGTGAGTGGGTGGGTGAGTGGGTGGGTGAGTGGGTGGGTGAGTGGGTGGATGAGTGAGGGTGGGTGGGTGGGTGAGTGGGGAGTGGGTGGGTGAGTGGGTGAGTGGGTGGGTTGGTGAGTGGGTGGGTGGGTGAGTGGGTGGTGGGGGGTGGGTGGGAGAGTGAGTGGGTGAGTGGGTGGGTGGTGATGCTACTACTACTGATGACGATGCTATTGCTGCTGCTGCTACTGAATGTCCAGAAATGGTTGAGTTCTGTCAGCTTCCACTTCCATGCTGAACTGGATGGATGGGTTTTGCGAGTTGAGATGATTTAGAAACGCGTCAGTCTATCTTTGCCGTGTGGCCAGACCACCAACGTGTCATCCACGTAACCCGGCACACTGAGACCATCTGCTTGCTCCTGCCAGGAGCGCTTTGTGGGATGTCGCTACCGCCACGCTGCCTCAGCCTGCAGGCGCTGCTGAGTACTGCGTCCGCGTGAGTCGCGGCTCGCCCGCGGTGGAAGACAGGGGAGTGGTCTCCACTGTCGTGTGTCTCCGTCCCTCCACCACACAGCGCCGTGGGTGAGTGGGTGGGTGGGTGAGTGGGTGGGTGGGTGAGGGGTGAGTGAGTGGGATGGTGAGTGAGTGGGTGGGTGGGTGAGTGAGTGGGTGGTGAGTTAGTTGGTGGGTGAGAGAGTGGGTGAATGAGTGGGTGAGTGAGTGAGTGGGTGGTGGGTGAGTGAGTTGGGGGTGGGTGAGTGAGTGAGTGGGTGGGTGAGTGGGTGGGTGAGTAGGTGGGTGGGTGGGTGGGTGAGTGAGTGAGTGAGTGGGTGGGTGAGTGGGTGAGTGGGTGGGTGGGGTGAGTGAGTGAGTGGGTGAGGTGAGTGGGTGGGTGAGCGAGTGATTTGGTAAGTAGTTGAGTGAGTGGGTGGGTTAGTGGGTGGGTAAGTAGTTGACTGAGTGGGTGGTGAGTGAGTGGGTGCGTGAGTGAGTGGGTGGGTGAGTAGGTGGGTGGGTGAGTGAGTGGGTGGGTGGGTGAGTGGGTGGGTGAGTGGGTGGGTGAGCGGGTGATTTGGTAAGTAGTTGAGTGAGTGGGTGGTTTAGTGGGGGGTGAGTAGTTGACTGAGTGGGTGGTTGAGTGAGTTGGTGCGTGAGTGATTGAGTGGGTGAGTAGGTGGGTGGGTGGGTGAGTGAGTGGGTGGGTGAGTGGGTGGGTGAGCGAGTGATTTGGTAAGTAGTTGAGTGATTGAGTGGGTGAGTGGGTGAGTGGGTGAGTGGGTGGGTGAGTGGCGCACCCATTTAGCCCTCTCTATCCGGCTGAACAAAAGCTGTTCAGACATGCGGTGGCTGGGCATGCAGGCTACATGGCCCAGCCAACGCAGCCTTGCCTGCCGGAGGAGCTCACCAATGGGACTTTGCCCAGATCTTTCTGGGATTTGTGAGCTCCTCACACAATCCAGCTTGCAGGTTAAACCCAGGATGGATCGTAGACAGGCCAGCCTAAATGTTTCTAACCGGCGAATATGTTCCATTAGGGGGGTCCACTTTTCGCATGCGTAGAGAAGGGAGGGAATGACCGTGGCCGAGAAGACCTGAAGATTCGTGCGGAGTGACAAACCAGGTAGCTTCCACACAGTATTATGTAACCGATGAAAAGGTAATGCCGCTCGACTGATTCGGAGTGAGACCTCAGCCGTCATGAGCACACTGCCCAGGTATGGGAACTCTCCACTCTCTCCACAACTCCTCAATCACCAATTGGGAGTTGTGGGGGTGGAGTGTCCAATGGTACAAAATACCCAGGTGGTGCTAGTTTTGGTGGGGCTGATGGTAAGGCCCCACCTCTTAGTGGCACGCTCCAGTCTCAGCAGCAGCGTCTCCAACTCCTCTTCTGAATGAGCAGCTATTACCAAATCATCAGCATACGCAACATGGTTGAGCGATAGGGAGCCATCCCTTGACCGCACCCGGGCATCGATCAGCCTCCCATTGTATCTGTAACAGATGGAAATTCCTCTGGTACAGCTATTGAAGGCTTCACGAACTATGTGGTTAAAAAATGTTAATAATGTGGGAGCCAGAGGACATCCTGTCGCACCCCAAGGTGTACAGGGGAAAGGCTCTGACTCCCGGCCACGTAGTTTTATCCGGGCCCGCTCACCATCATGAAGGTCCTTAATGATCGTGAGCAGAGTCAGGGACTCCGAAAGCACGAAAAACTGCCCAGAGCCCAGTCCTACTGATGGTATCATAGGCCTGACCAGGTCAATAAAGCAGAGATGTAGGTCTTGTTGGAATTCCCTACACCTCTGCTGTAGCACGGGCAGAAAATATGGCATCTGTGCAGGACCGCCCTTTCCTGAAACCGCATTGGGGCTCCGCAAGCCTCTCCTCAGCGTGCCTGGCAAGGCGGTGTTGAACAACAACACACAGACAGGTACACACAGACACACACACAGACACACACAGACAAATATCCCCCGTGTAGCCTTAACAGACTGTTGGGGCAAGTGCTGTTAGTGAGCACCTATGAAGGTCAAACTTTACACGAGGGGGTGGGTGGCCAGCACCACGCCCGACCGCCTTTGTCTCCCCAGTGGCGATGTTTACACACGCCGCACCAGGTACTCGTTTTGAGGCTGAGTCGACCTAGGGGAGGCCCAGGAACGGTTCAGGTAATCGTCACCGGTGTTGGCCGTGAGCGGGAATCGAACCTGGGTCGCCGGGTTCATAGCGCAGCGCGCTAACCGCTGCACCGCCGCTCCTCATCCAACAACACTGCTCAGCATCCCACTCTGTCTGTGTCTCTGTCTGTGTCTCTGTCTGTGTCTCTCTGTGTCTCTGTCTGTGTCTCTGTTGTGTCTCTCTGTGTCTCTGTCTGTGTCTCTGTGTCTCTCTGTGTATCTGTCTCTCTGTGTCTCTGTCTGTGTCTCTGTCTGTCTCTGTCTGTGTCTCTGTCTGTGTTCTCTGTGTCTCTGTCTGTGTCTCTCTGTGTCTCTTTGTGTATCTGTCTCTCTGTCTGTATCTCTGTCTGTGTCTCTGTCTGTGTCTCTCTGTGTCTCTGTCTGTGTCTCTGTCTGTGTCTCTCTGTGTATCTGTCTCTCTGTCTGTATCTCGTCTGTGTCTCTGTCGTGTCTCTGTGTATCTGTTCTCTCTGTATCTGTCTCACTGTGTCTCTGTCTGTGTCTCTCTGTCTGTATCTGTGTATCTGTCTCTCTGTCTGTGTATCTGTCTCTCTGTCTCTGTCTGTGTCTCTCTGTCTGTGTATCTGTCTCTCTGTCTGTGTCTCTCTGTCTGTGTATCTGTTTCTCTGTCTCTGTCTGTGTCTCTCTGTCTGTGTATCTGTCTCTCTGTCTCTGTCTGTGTCTCTCTGTCTGTGTATCTGTTTCTCTGTCTGTATCTGTCTCACTGTGTCTCTGTCTGTGTCTCTCTGCCTGTATCTGTCTCACTGTGTCTCTGTCTGTGTCTCTGTCTGTGTCTCTGTGTATCTGTTTCTCTGTCTGTATCTGTCTCACTGTGTCTCTGTCTGTGTCTCTCTGTGTATCTGTATCTCTGTCTGTATCTGTCTCCCCATGTCTCCCGTACTCCCGCGTGTCCCCAATCTCGTAGCCACCACCCCCCCCCACCACCACCACCACCCCGCCACCACCACCACCGCCACCACCGCCACCACCACCACCACCACCACCCCACCCCGCCACCACCACCACCACCACCGCCACCACCACCACCCCCCCACCGCCACCCCACCCCCCCACCACCCCACCACACCACCACCCCCACCGCCCCCACCACCACACCGCCGCCACCACTCCCCACCACCACCACCGCACCACCCAATCCACCACCACCACACCGCCACCACCACCCCCACCGCCACCACCACCCCCACCACCACCACCCCCACCACCACCACCGCCACCGCCCCATCCACCACCACCACCCCATCCACCACCACCACCGCCACCACCGCCACCACCGCCCCATCCACCTCGCGTGGGGTGTCCACGGGGGACGTGGTGACGCTCTTTGCCAGCGGCCGTGTCGCCTCCATCAGCTCGCTGGTGGCCATGGCGACGCTGCTGGTGACGCTGCTGGTGCTGGTGCTGGCGCTGGTGTGCACCGTGCGGGACAGACGGAGCCCCGGCAATCGTCCCGGTGAGCGGCGGCTACACAGATGTTGACTACCTCGCCTGGTGCGTAGGAGGTCGTGGGTTCGATCCAGACACTGACGCCTGCTGCTGTATACTTGGAGTTTGCGTGTCTCTCTCTCATCATCATCACGGTGGCTAGGAGATGTTGACTACCTCGCCTGGTATACAGGAGGGCGTGGGCTACATCCCCGCCCGGACGCCTGCTGCTGCTGTATATTGGAGTCTGCGTGTCTCTCTCTCAGCGAGCCGTGACGACGACGCCCGCCGCTGTTGGCTCGGAGTTGGCGCGTCCGTCTCTCTCCGTGGCGACGTCCGTTCCAGAGGAGAATGAATGATGTTTACACGGCAAGTTATACATGTGTAGTGTGTAAAGGACGGACTAATAAACCTCTTTATGGCACACACAGTTTATTGTCTTAATGACACAGTCCCTAACACACACAAGGGTTGTACGGTCCCCTCACCGTTACCTGAGGAGGTACAGCCTCCTGACCTGCACAGCTCACACTTCACTCCTAATCTACGGAGCTACAGCCTCCAGACTTGCCGTCTATCCAATCTCCCCGCCATCCCACGTCCTCCAGACTTGCCGTCTATCCAATCTCCCGCTATCCCAGCGTCCTCCGGCTGGACCTAGGGGAGGCACACCGACCCGGCGGGTCCCCGACCCTCTGGTCGCTCGAGACCTTCGCCCTCACGAGGGCGGGAAGGCTGGGAGCCAGGGTCCTATCCAGGACCTATCTCCCCTGACCACTGGTGACACTGAGCCCCAGCCCTGACAAGGGCTGGGGTCACCACACAGAGACCCACAGACTCACCACACAGAGACCCACAGACTCACCACACAGAGACCCACAGACTCACCACACAGAGACCCACAGACTCACCACACAGAGACCCACAGACTCACACACAGAGACCCACAGACTCACCACACAGAGACCCACAGACTCACCACACAGAGACCCACAGACTCACCACACAGAGACCCACAGACTCACTCACCACACAGAGACCACAGACTCACCACACAGAGACCCACAGACTCACACACAGAGACCCACAGACTCACACACAGAGACCCACAGACTCACCACAGAGACCCAGACTCACCACACAGAGACCCATAGACTCACCACAGAGACCCACAGACTCACCACACAGAGACCCACAGACTCACACAGAGACCCACAGACTCACCACACAGAGACCCATAGACTCACCACACAGAGACCCACAGACTCACCACAGAGACCCACAGACTCACCACAGACCACCACACAAGCCCACTCACCACAGAGACCCACAGACTCACACACAGAGACCCACAGACTCACCACAAGAGACCCACAGACTCACCACACAGAGACCCACGACTCACCACACAGAGACCCACAGACTCACCACACAGAGACCCACAGACTCACCACACAGAGACCCACAGACTCACCACAGAGACCCACAGACTCACCACACAGAGACCCACAGACTCACCACACAGAGACCCACAGACCATCACACAGAGACCCACAGACTCACCACACAGAGACCCCAGACTCACCACCAGAGACCCACAGACTCACACACAGAGACCCACAGACTCACCCACAGAGACCCACTCACCACACAGAGACCCAGACTCACCACACAGAGACCCACAGACTCACCACAGAGACCCACAGACTCACCACACAGAGACCCAGACTCACCACACAGAGACCCACAGACTCACCACCAGAGACCCACAGACTCACACACAGAACCCACAGACTCACCACACAGAGACCCATAGACTCACCACACAGAGACCCAGACTCACCACACAGAGACCCACAGACTCACCACACAGAGACCCACAGACTCACCACACAGAGACCCACAGACTCACCACACAGAGACCCATAGACTCACCACACAGAGACCCACAGACTCACCACACAGAGACCCACAGACTCACACACAGAGACCCACAGACTCACCACACAGAGACCCACAGACTCACCACACAGAGACCCACAGACTCACCACACAGAGACCCATAGACTCACACACAGAGACCCATAGACTCACCACACAGAGACCCACAGACTCACCACACAGAGACCCAGACTCACCACACAGAGACCCATAGACTCACCACACAGAGACCCACAGACTCACCACACAGAGACCCACAGACTCACCACACAGAGACCCACAGACTCACACAGAGACCCACAGACTCACCACACAGAGACCCATAGACTCACCACACAGAGACCCACAGACTCACCACACAGAGACCCACAGACTCACCACACAGAGACCCACAGACTCACCACAGAGACCCACAGACTCACCACACAGAGACCCATAGACTCACCACACAGAGACCCATAGACTCACCACACAGAGACCCACAGACTCACCACACAGACCCAGACTCACCACACAGAGACCCATAGACTCACCACACAGAGACCCACAGACTCACCACACAGAGACCCATACTCACCACACAGAGACCCACAGACTCACCACACAGAGACCCACAGACTCACCACACGAGACCCAGACTCACCACAGAGACCCACAGACTCACCACACAGAGACCCATAGACTCACCACACGAGACCCACAGACTCACCACACAGAGACCCTAACTCACCACACAGAGACCCACAGACTCACCACACAGAGACCCACAGACTCACCACACAGAGACCCATAGACTCACCACACAGAGACCCACAGACTCACCACACAGAGACCCACATAGACTCA